CTTAAGATACTCTGTTGTGGGGGGGATGATGGGTTTGGTTGCATGCGAAGTCGAAGATGAATTCTATTTTGTGGCAGAGATCTAAATTTCCGTTTACTTCCCTGTCGACGCCGCTTCTGCTGCCATTGGCCAGACGATGAACTTCAAGCTAAAATCCAAGAGGTAGAGAAGAAGAACACCAAGGATTTAACCGAGCTGGACCGCATCCTGCTGCTGAGTAAGCCCAGGAACGGAGAGCTGTCCACCTCCCATATCCGCATCCGAGAGAGCAAGGAATTTAGGGTAAGTCCGAAACTCCGGTAAGTCCGGGGGCGCTGTCGGGGGCAAGCCCACACGTATCGTACACTTGATTTGATTAGATCCGAGACAAAGGACAATGCAAATGAAAAGCAATTCAATTCACTTGACGGCTAAGCAACAACAACGGGAATCACTGCCAAATCCCAGCACACATTTACATCGGGTTAAGTGAATGCGTGCACGGCACCCAGCGGACACACCAGACACACCCATAATGACAGGCGGCTATCCTTATCCTGTTGCCAGATCAAGTTACGGCTAACCGGTCCTCAGGTGCCAGGCAAATAAGCACCTAATTGTGTGTAAATCTCCAAATGACACTTTGTGTGTTCTGCCTGTCTGTCTGTCTGTTAGACAGACTTTTTATTCTTGCGTATACGTGACGTGCGTATGAGTAATGTCTGTGTGTCTCTCTCTCTCTCTCGCTCTCGCCACAGGCTACTGTCGACAAACTGGTGGCCAAGGCGAATACTTCAGCCGTGCTCGGCACATCCTCGTGGAAGGAACAGTTCAAAGATGCCCTCACCGTCATCCCAGGTACAAACGCCCGCTGCTCTTCATGACATCATCATCGAATAACAACGAACTAACATTTGCATTTTTCAGCCGATGAAAGCGAGTTCGATGATGCGGACGAAGATGTGGAGGAGGTGGTGCCCAGCTGCCTCAGCTACATCAGCCACTTTGTCTGCCTATTCTGGAAGGTTCTCTTTGCATTTGTGCCGCCCACAAGTGAGTCTCGTTGTGCAGGCTGCAGACTGTGGCCTGCAGACTCCTGTTTCTATTCCTAACTATGACTCTATTCCCCTTAGACATTTCCGGCGGCTATGTGACCTTTTTGGTTTCGATAACTGTCATTGGTATCATCACCGCCGTCATTGGGGATGCCGCCTCCTACTTCGGTTGCGCCCTCAATATCAAGGATTCGGTTACAGCCATCCTCTTCGTGGCCCTGGGCACCAGCATACCAGGTAAGCTTCTGGGGCAGCGATCCCCCACCTGACAGACACTCTTACATGCCTGACACTCGATTCGTTTCGGTTTAGATACATTTGCCAGCATGATTGCGGCCAAGCACGACGAGGGTGCCGATAACTGCATCGGCAATGTCACGGGCAGCAATGCGGTCAACGTATTCCTGGGCATTGGGCTGGCCTGGTCCATTGCCTCCATTTACCACATGTCCCATGGCGGGACCTTCAACGTGGAGCCGGGAACGTAAGTCTGCCTTTGACACTTTCAAATTTCAATGATAAAATGAATACTTACACGATTCTCGTCCTTTGACAGGATTGGCTTTGCTGTGGGACTCTTCGTGGCCGAGGCTTTGGTTGCCATCGCTGTGATCATGTCCCGGCGCTGGAACAAGAACATTGGTGCGGAGCTGGGCGGTCCAAGGGGATCCAAGTACTTCTGCGCTTCGATCCTGGTGTTCCTCTGGGTATTCTATGTAACCATCTGCACTTTGGAGGCCTACGACATCATCCGGATCTAAGCGGACCACACCACCCGAATGGCGTTGGTTCAAAGGAAACGTATCGGCAGGACAGAAACGAGAACAAAAACCACACGCGAAGAGGCTGTTCGAAACAGTTTTATAAATGTAAACTTATATATATCCGCATATGCACTGCACTGTGCTGTGCCATATATATATTGATATTTATTGTGTAAAATTTATGTTAATACTAAGAGTAAAATCGTAATGTTTAACTAGGTTTGTAAGTCGGGCTTATTTTAAATATTGTGTACTATTTTACGATTATCTTACATTACATTACTCTCTTTATTTATATATATATATATTCGATATGAATTGTAAATACAGAAAGGCTGCCACAGCTCAGCAATCTTGTAATTGTAACGAGATCATTCATTGTTATGCCATATATACTTAATTATACACACATACTCTAAACATACAATATATATTTATTATTATATCATTCTGCGTACAACTTAAGTCATTGTTGTTGTTTGTTAAAGCTGTACTTAATCCACAAGTCCGCAAACGCGTGGAGGGGGACACTGAGATACCGATACCGATACCGATACCGATACCGATACCGATACCGCCCTCGTCCGTTTGAATTAGAATTTAATTTTGAAATTGAAATCGTCTCTCCATCTGTCAGAAATCGTTGTTAATTTAATACATGTGTAAGTTTTAGCAGAAAAAATTAAAAGTTTTAGTCAACAGAAAAACCCCTAAGCTAAATACTACTACGACTACCACATCTACTACTACTACTACTACTACTACTACTATTCGTACTATTAATACTTAGGCAGTCTCCTACCCAACAACTAGTTCTAGTCCCTCCATACTAACTCTTTTCTTGAACTCTGACCAAACCAAGTGGCGGCACTACTTACTAGCGATTAGCCCCGAAAGACCATCAGTGTTTGCACACTGCACACTACTTACAATAACAGGAGCACTAATCAATTTACTTAAACAACAACAAAAAAAAAGACTTTCAATTTGCTTATGTCGCCTGGCAGTGATCGAACGAAATCGAAGTAGAGAAAAACCGGATATTAAGGCAAACACCAAAACCGACAAATAGATGAAATGAATGAGAAACAAAACAAAAAGTGAATGTACGAGTACGAGTAATCAAAATGTAACTAGCAGGTACATATTTTTTGTATAATGTACTATGTATTTTTTCATATATATTGTAGCAAAATTCTAGCTAAATAATGGGGAGAGGAGAAGAGAAGAGAAGAGAGGAGATGAGAGGAAAGGAAACCTAATGATATTTATAGCCATGCATAAATTTGTATTATATGGGGAACTTGCTGATAGAACTTCGCCAAATTTAGACGTAAATTGACGTAATTAATTACCAAATACATATACAAATGCATATACGAGTATGAACGATAAAACAGTGGAATACAAATATAATAATTATAGCTGAAATATGTATGTATGTATGTATTAAATTATATTGTCAATGTTTACTGCTAGATATTATAATTAAATTTCTTTTAAAATTTATTTCAATCGTTTGTTCTATTTTTTTTAAGCTTAATTTCTCGTTGTTTAAGCGCAAATATTGAGACACGATAAGATCACAAATGTTTGTATGTAGTCATAGGATTGATCAAGGATATTCAATGGATATTACTGCAGTTAACATGCGATTCGGGGGAATCGTCCACGGGTCGGGGGTCAGGGTAAGTCTGGCAAGGAAATCAATAGAATAGAATAGCAAATAGCAGATAGCAGATTGGATGAATAATGTATGGAATAGAAGTGCCGAACAGCAGTAAACCGTAAACAATATAACACATAAAAAAATTCATCAATATATCTATAGTCGTACAAGTGGGCAGACATACAGACCTATATTTATCTATAGACGATTATATTCAAATGGAAAAGGCAAATAAAGCGATAAAAGTGCTTCCGATATAGGATGTAGGGTACGTCTGAAGGACTTCGAGTAGAAAGAGCAGCGGCAGAAACTGGACGAACAGATTATTAAGTATATAAACGTTTCGATTATATTCACTTCTTTTCCAAATACTTTTTATATGTGTAATTTCCAATATGTTTGTTCATTTCAAATTTTCGATTTCCTTTCCTTAGATGTACGATGAATGAATATGATATATTTATGTAGATCTGGTATGCTTGGATCGGCAAACGAGTGTTGGTTAATATGTGTATGTGTATTGTACAATATTAATAATTTGCTGTTTGTTATCGTGTATTTTCGAATTCAAATTATACCTGCATTTTTTATATGTATACTTATGAATGTGATTTTACCCAAAAAAAAACCAAAAACCAAAAACCAAGGCAAATGCAAAATATATATTCGTACGCCCAGACTATATCAAATATTCAAGAAGCAAAGCAAAGTAAATTAATCAAATAGCAGATCGAATACATAAGATACATATGTATGTATGTATACATATATGTAGCTTCTGTAGCATACTACTATATATATATGAATGCAGTTAGATCTGTAGCCATCTTAGTAACGGTATCTTTTTGGCTCTGGGCACAGAGATCAGAGGCCAGAGGCAGAGCTAGAGCTCGCTATCTCTCTCTTCACTACAATACAATATAAGAACTTGAATATTCACTTTGAGAATTTACATACTCGTACTTTAGGGCAGGCATCAGAAGTAATGCTTATCGTTTTACTACCCAATCGTATAGCGCCAAGAGTCTATCGCCTAGAGTAACAACAATAATGGCATCGCTCAGCAGTGCTGCCTACCATACCATACCCGAATGTGAATGTATTTCCAGGCATGTTAACCCAATGAAAACCCAATAAACTACACATTAAACCGAATGCGATTGTCGATCTTTGTTTTTTTCTTTCCCAATTCTCTCATTTCCAAGAAGGCTGGAAAGGTCTGGTCTGGTCCTCTTATCATCTAGCAGCTGACTTATCGCTATGGGAAACTGGGCGCTGTTACGCAACCCTTATCATCAGCCGGAGACGGAGACGGAGAGGAGACCCAAAAAAGCTGCACAAGATAAGCGGGGAAATCAGCGTAGAAAGCTGGTTGCGGAAGATGAGCGGGCGAGAGCAGACAACGAGAGCACAATGAAGCGGAAAGATAAAGTTGTTTACGGGATTTCGAATAGCAATAAAACAAATGGAACTGCCTCTCGCGCGGCTAATTTAAGTTGAAACAAAACCCAAAGGCAGTCACCAGTTGTCCGCCAGTGCGCCACGGAGCAATCTCAGCCGCATTGCAGTCGGTCGCCTTTGAGGGAATGTAGAGAGAAGTGTTTGTAATCCAGGGAAAGTCCTGACAGACAAACAAACAGACAGACGGAGAAGACGAGGCAAATATGTCCTGTGATGAGAAAACAGCGCTGCTGGCATCGCAGCAAGGACACCAGCAACGCCAGCACATCATTGTTTTGCCAAGGGATCCAAAGGATTATGAACCCATTTTCACAACTGCTGAGTAAACGCTTTCTGTCGCATTTCATTAAAAAATAACTTTGTTACACAGCGTTTCTCCCCACTCCCAACCCCCCCTCCCCCCGACCAGCTACTCATACGGTCTGACGCTGGAGGAGCTGCTGCCCTTTGCCCTGGATCCCTGGTGGCAGAGTGTGCGGCGTCTCTGCTCTTTCTGCCTCGGGTTTATCTTCCTGCTGACCCTCTTCGCCGCCTTGGTACTGGCGCACTCCAACGATGGCTGTCGGTCAAATAGAGCAATTAGCACGACCGTCAGCGGCCCCGGCAGCGGCACCACAAACAACATCACGTTCCCGTTCTCGTCGCCATCCACATTCCCTCCGCCAGTGGCCTTGGCATCCAATGGCACTCAGCTGCTGCTGGCCAGTTTATAGCTAATCCCCATAGCTCTTGGGGGATGCCGCAATACCACCCATAGGATTACATCAGCCGCGCTCCCAATACGCATCTGTTTGGCTTTCCGGCAACGACTACGGACTACGGCTTTCCCACTCGACTACGAGTATTCCATTTGCTGACTAAGCGATAAGCTTAGCACTGAGGCAGTACGGAATCGATTCGTGTTTGATTACAAGCTTACTTTAATTGTCATTATTTGCTATTAATTTATATTTTTAATAAGTACAATTAGACACGACTATACGAGTATGTAATATGCACTTTAAAAGGCAAGTAAATAGGAATTGAAGTGCCTTATCATGATGTTGTTGCTGGGCAGCTAAAGGACGCTGTCCGGAATGGAATGCCCGGAAACTGCAGATTCGTTTTGGATTTTCACAATTATTTGGCATTTTTTCATACAACAATGGGTTTTTAGCCGATCCTATTCAACCTCATACATTTCCAACACTTCCTGGATCCAGCGTGACATTGATTGCTCTCTTCGACTCCTTTGATATTACCCGCACCGCCTTGTCCGCCCGACTGATACTCGTCCTGTGGAGCTCTGGCGCCTGCTTGGCCTCTGACCAGGCCTCGAGATCCAAGTTGAAGCCCGGCAAATCCTGACAGTTGACGTAGCGATTGTCATCCACTCGATGACGCTCCATGACACTCTCTCGAATTCGCGTTATTCCATCCGAATTTCGGCAGATGATGGCGGCCAGACTTGTCTTGTAGATCTCCGTCAGTTGTCCTGCACAATCAAGGATTGACCAACGACTAGGCACTACTTCAGTTTGACAGAACTCACCTTTGGTGAACCTCTGGGGTCCCATTTTCCGCTCGTACCAGTGGGAGTCGCCCAGCTTGAGGCGCAGGAACTGGTCGGAGACCATGCAGCTCAGCAGCGGACCAAAGATGGCACCCTCGAGCGGTGGCTCGCTGACGGCTCCCGTATAGACATCCACATCCTGCGGGGATCTAAGGGTCAGACGGGTTAAACGGAGGGGAAAGTCAGTGTGTCTTTGCAATGCACTCACTCATATATCTGCTTGATGGACGCCAGTGTGGCGTTGTCAACGGCCTGGGCCATCTGCTCCCAGGTGTCCACCGGGGGCAGGCGGCAGTGACGCCGGAAGACCGGATAGGCGGGTATACCATGATCGCGACCACGCTGAATGTTCAGAGAGACCAAGTCCAGACCGCAAAGTGGAACCGGATCGTCGGGATTGCCTTCAAACAGTTTCTGGGTGACCTCCAGAGAGAAGAAGCGATCCACGCGCATCACTGGCGTATTGGCAGCTGTATTCAGGGCGTGGTCAATGCCGTGTTCATTCCACAGCGAGAAAGGATTGAAGAGCATCTTGTGCAGCTCTATTGCCTCGGGCGTACTATTGTCCCGAGAAACATTGAACAGACCCGGCAGCAGGGTGTGGGCAAACCGGAAGGCGGCCGCAGCAAAACAATTGGCAATGCTGGGATCCACCTGGGGATCGTAGGTATCCGGCTCGTCGAGATTGTGGCTGGCCGGTAGCAGACCCTTGACCCGAGTGAGATTCCTGCCGAGCAGCACCGGCAGGAACTCATTGTAGGTGACGTGGGCCATCTGTGCGCCGACAATCTTACGAGCCTCCTGGTAGATCCGCTCATCGTCCCAGTTGGGATTCACTTCGTGCAGGCTTCGAGCCAGATTATTGTGGTGCCTGGCCCAAAGCAGGTGCATGGAGGTGAGCAGCAGATTCTCGTTGGCCCTATCGTCGCCAGACTCGAAGCAGTACTTGCCCTGTCGTGTCATCTGGACGCGATTGCAGCCATCTGCCGGATTGGACGAGATCGGAAGCAGCTCTCGTCCGTCGTCAGTTAGGAACATGCGCAACGTGCCGTTGATGAAGCTCCGAAGCTGGTTCTGCCGCTGCTCCAGATTGCCGTACACCACAGAGGCATCAATGAAAGCGGTGGCCTGGTTCAGCTGCATCCTCGGCCCGAATCTGCCCATGGGCGCCGGCGCAGAGCGAACAAAGTTCATGCAGGTGACATTGTACCGCTTGTAGTAGGGATCGTCGGGGAGTATCTCCACGGGAAAGCACTCTGGGTGCTGTTCGCGTGTGGCTGCCGCACAACAGTTGATGGACTCGCCCTCTTGGGATGTGGTCAGCGATGTGGCGGTGATATCGTGGTCCATGAACTGGCCGAAGACCGCCAGCATCACGGTGAAGTTTGAGTCCGTCTCGTAGCTGGAACGATGAATCTTCAGGGAGACTTGGCGTGCCGGCGGCAGGTGTCCATCGTGACTGGTCCTGGGAGCTGCAATGCCATCGGAGTAGTCCGGTGCCACCATGCGGCGGTAGGGCACCATCGAGGCTCCAAATGTGCGCGGATGCTCTTTGTTATTGCAGACGCCAGTAGATCGCCTGTAGCGGGCATTGAAGTCGCAGTCCAACCGGAGCACAGTGGGATCCGGCAGCACGATCTGTGGGCCCCAGCCAATATTACTTCGACCCGGCTGCTTGGTATAGTTGAATCTTCGGGCAATGTCCATGGTCGCCTGGTTCTCTACGTAACCACGACGGGCCAGTTTCCGAGCCTCTGGATTGGTGCTCAGGGAACGATAGTGCCGGAACGCTGGCGTGTTGACCTCATTCGGCTGTAGGCCTTCCTCCAATATCTCACGATCCCCCAGCGCCTTGATGCCGACGCCAACTGATCGAGCCTCCTCATGACGATCGACAGCCGCCTGTTTTAGGGCCCAATCCGCTTCCGGCTCATCTGGAATTGGTGTCGTCGGTGGTAGCTCCATCTCTGTTCCATTTATAGCCAAGAAAAAGCTGGGACCACCATCCGTGTTGCTGAGCGAGTCGTCGAACAACAGGGCCAGGCCCAAGGCGACAAACACAATGACTCTGCGGACAGGAAAATAAATTCACTTGGTGGCTAAGACATTGGGAAATCTGGGAAATACTTGTCCCTTTCGGGTTTCCCCACTCACATGAATGTAATTCCCATGCAACACTGGAACTGTTTCATTTTGCTGCGACGCGAACGCGGTGAGACACCGCCTGGAAATACGTGTTCTGGTCCTTGATAAGGAGGCAGCGCCACATAACCAGAGCCACTGGCTACGGCGGCGGTGAGTGGCGTTGTTTCGTCCGTCATGATCGAAGCTGAACTGATGCGCGCACTGATGAAGGGCCAGTGGCCCACGGCGACTCGACTGTAAAGTTGCGCCAACCCAACACTTAGAGGGCTTCCTCTCCGTTCGCCACACTTCAGATACTTTCGCCGGCAGCTCCGCGTTTTGCCAGTGTGCTTGAGGCTGACGAACAAACCCAGTATATAATATATTATAATCCCAGCGGTTGAGCAGAGGAGTAACGAAGCTGGCCACTGTCCACCAGCCCACAAGCCGCATCAGTTCAAAAACAGTCCACCTTTAACTTAAAGCTTAAACTTTAATAAATGTAAATTCTTGTGTATGCAACACATAATTAGACTTCCATGTCTTTTGGCTTTTAGAATATATTAGCCTCATACTCGTCAGTTTCAAGAGATATTGGAACGACTTGTTCTTCGGCAGATAGACCAGTTCTGTGTTCTCCAGAAACTCTTCCATGGATTATAGATAGATGTCGCATTACTGACCCATAAGCTCCGCGATTTCAATGATTTTGAAGAGCATTCCAGGGTATAATTGTGATCATTGTCGATCCAGTTGCACACCAGATCTTGTGTCGCAGATCGTACGGCTGCTCCATAAAGCTCAGAAGCCCAAAGGCCTTGGCACTTCGATGGCAGTGTCGTTTTTGTTGGCGATGTATACTTTTTAGACCTAATGGTCTGTCCAGACTTACATCAATTATATCCTAAGATTTGAGCACTTTCTGTGCTACTGGGTCAAGGCCAAGAATCAACTACAACTGATACTCGTTGAGCGTTAGATCAGTATTAATCTTGTCCACTCCTTCTCGTTTTGCGACATCACCTTTGCCGCCCGCTCGTAGGTGCCGTTGAATATAAGCTGAATCCAGCCCAGTAATGGATGGTCGCGCATGAACTGCGCCAGTGCTAACTGGTTGCCCTTGAAGCGCTCGAATACCTAGCCATGACGCTGCTGCCGAAGATACAAACTAATGGCAAACTGTAAGACATTAAACTCCTTGTATTTGCGCGTGTACTCATCCGAGCGTTCTTTGTCATTGGTCACATCGCATATTGGCCAACAATAATAATAACCTGTTCCCAAGTGCTCGAAGGCAAGGGTTTTGTCACATAGCTCAAAATCCACCAAGCCAACTGATTTCGGGCTTAATGGTCTTGTGGTGCCATTTCGTCGGCCATTAGTGAGGCCTACTTGCAGAAATACCAAAGTGCAGGTCCTGGTCACAGCAAGGTACCCCTGTTCCCCAGGCACATTTATGAGTTGAACAAAGCCCTGAACAGCTAAGATCACGTTAAGTCTGCTGCAGCAGAGACGGCTATGTATGATGCCATTTGCCGACCGTCCTTCTGGACGAGTCCTTCAAGGCCTCGATCACAACGACGGGAAGGGGGTGGGGTAACCTCTACACAACATTCTAGTTCGACTGGATGCAGGGTACCGAATGGGTGGATCGCACAGAAAAACTATGCCGGCTGTTGGGAAAAGTGTTCTCAATCATTTTCACATATGCAAGACCTCAGTTTACACACCTGTTGTTTGGGGCGTCCCGAAAGTGGACAGCAGCTCGAGTTGCCGGTGGAATCCTTGCGATGACTCGCCTCAATTACAGCTGGTAGCTATGATAAACACTGATAACACTGATAAAGGCATATTTTGTTGTTTTACGCGATCCTGAGATCCTCCGAAATATATCGTCTCATTTTCAAAATATACCGATGAACTTATACCCACTCAACCCCTCTCTATTTAAACAAGGGAACAACTTGAGCTAAGTTTCGGAATATAATAATGTTTGCTAATTCTTCCTGCAGATTCATCCTATCCATCCTCTTTAGTTATAAAAAAACCGCGATATCTATCATATATAACACTTGAACTGCGCTAAATTTCTTCAAGTTTCATAATATTCGTGTGTGTTTTGATACATATACCAACTGGTCGGCAATGGGCTTTTAACTAAATTATAAACTTTAACGAACGATAGCCGTAAGGCTATCACATGTTCAGATAAGACAGGCTAAGCCTAATGTCATACGACCATGATTCATACAGGTCCAATTCGTAACCGATTCAAAACCTTAACATTAAGAAATAGTCATTGCTATGCAGGGTGATCCTTCCATACGCAGGTTTTTTTCGCTTTCAAATCGTATTTATGTGCATCACTTATTCCAATGTATTGCATTTAAATCGTTTTCACTCATTCACTTTCAAGCTATTTCTATTTGGCGCGCACCACTCGTATCTAGTCGATAGTATCGATTGAACCGGTAGGCAGCGAAATAGGGTATACAAATACCATACTGCGGTTGCCAAGCAACAAGTCTTCAAATATTGTTGCGACTGTTTTTTTGTTGAACTTCTTTGTTTAAACCTTGTTTTAGTCAAAATACAAGAAATGGGAGTACTTAAAAGTAGCTAGTCTTGTAGAAAATTTATTCATCAATAGAATAAAATTATGTGGGAAGAGCTGAAGGTTTTATCTATCTAGTAATATTCAAAGGAATATCAAAAACGCGGAATATGTGTAATATAACTTGAATTCGTCAGTATATTTACGGTATATTTTAAAAATGAGACGGTATATTTTGGTATATTTCCGGCGGTCGGACGGTATATTTTACCGATAAATCCACTACCCTTGCTAAGAATTTCACTCGATTTCGTAAACAAAAATTTAACATTAAGTCAAAATAGATGGCAACTTGGACGCAAAACGAGCCGACTGGCGTCAGCAAACGTAGGCGATGGAATCTAGAAGGTATGTACCATAGCCCGCAAATCAGGATGCTCAATGCAAGGCAGGCATAACTCAACAATTCAAACATGATTACAGATCGAGCCTCACTAAACAAATTGAAGAACCATATTGCCCAGGAGGGATGCCCCCAGATGCAATATGATTTGGCCAAGCAGATTTTGGACAACGCAATAGGCTAGTGACAACCTCGAATTATAATGGATCCGAAAGTAAACTATAATTTTCTTAAACAGAGCCGAATATGGACAAAATCGAACAGTACCAGAAAGCCGTAAATTGGCTCGTCACCGCGGCTCACAATGGCCATGAGGATTCAGCCAAGCTGCTAAAAAATTGCTACAGCGACGGCCGTGGCATAACGGCAGAGAACGAGGATGAAGTCCGTAGCTGCCTGTCTATGACGCCAGGGGAGCGGGCGGCCCGAAAAGCAGCTCGTGAACTATTTGCCTGTCTCTCGAACGGAAACGAGCACGTTACACCCAAACAGCTAGAAAGAAAGATGAGATGCATATACAATCTTCAACGTAAACGCCGGAGACTTGAGGACGAAACGTCCGGGTCCAGCAGCGAGGGTGAACCAGAATGTGAGCCCCTGGGTAACGTGGAATCCATGGGGCATGCAAATGTGGAGCATCAACGCTTTATCACCGAGGCAAATCTAGTATCGGCTGCTTCCAACTACAGTGCCGGACGGATGCCCACTGTAAACGACACATTGACACTGTCTGTGCCTGATCCAAGGAGCTTAGACCATGTGCACCCCATTTACCGCATCTTTTTCCACCCGCTCATATTTTTCACCCTGTTTTACCACCGTCTGGTGAACTGCATCATCTCGTTGCCCAGCATATTGCCTGTAAGCGTGCGCCTGGGTCTCCTGATAGCTCTGTCCTGGTGGAGCAGCTTCCAATTGGTGCCACTAATCAGCTACTATTTCAGCGTTGGCATGATGATCTGGGCCACCTGTAAAATGCTAAAGACCAAGCAACAGTTTGTCGACTTTCGAATTTGGTCGGGACTGTTCCTGCGCTATGGCGACAACAACATCGATGCGGGTATAGCGGAGAAGCGCTTCCTGCGGAACAACATGAAGCCGTACGTGTATTATTTTGGAGCCTTCATCTGCAACCTGATTGTGTATCCTCTGGTGGCCGATGGCTGGATGCCCCACTCAGAGCTAACTATAATCTCTGGAGCTTTCACGCTACTCACCATGGGAGGGAGCGTGTATGCCTCGTCTGATCTACTGCCCAACTGGGTGGTGGTTGTCTCCTTTGCCGTCAACGTCTTGGCCAAGTATCCTTATGAGATGGACAAGGTGGTCACATCACGCTGGCGCTTCCTGGACCTGCGTAAACCCACCTTCTCGACATTTGTGATTGGCAACGGCATTGAGTTCTGTCTGAACTGCCGCACAGCATTGTACCTGTTGATTCCCGTGCTCCTGGTGATAATGGCCAAACGTTCACGCTGGCACGGTGTCTACACGCATCTCATTCCACACTGCGTCACGCTCTGCTGGCTGCAAGTGTGCATCGCCACCTCTCAGAGTGCCACCATGTTTGGCGTGATTCGCGGGACTCTCGTCCTCGCCGGGATGGTTTTGTTTCTGCCCCTATTCGGAATAGTGGCGCTCCTCGTTCCGGTCTTCGTGGCCATCAAGACACTCGGGCTTTCCAGCGAGCAGCTTTATTGGGGCGGTGTAGCCATCGCCTGTTTACTCATCATGCTCGGCTCCTATCTTCTCGCCCTAAACCGTGTTACCCAAAAGTATATTACCGTGCTGCAGGTAAGTGGAGTGGCGGTGGCATCCTGTGATACTATACTGTAACTAAATACTTGTAAATCATTTGCAGCTGGTCATGGGTGTGACAATGGCCTGTGTTTTGGTCTTCCCCTACATGACGTCCAGTTTCAAGGACACGCCGCGCTTCAATGCGATGCCACGATTCGGTCTACATTCTCTGTCGGACGTGGACTCACTGCCATGGGATCGTTTCCATTCCCTGTGCGCCCTGCCTTTCGAAGAGGAGCCCAACAAGATAAAGGCCCAGCTGCGTTGCATTCACCTCAATGGCTTGCCCGTGGTCTGGCAGGGCAGCGTCACTAAGGTGGAAATCTCCAAGATCTCTAATATGTTTGAAGATCTCGTCGCCAATTACTTGCCCGCCTGGTTGGGCAGGGCGGTACGCTGCGCTCATGGCGAGGGCATATCGCAGAATTTCCAGTGCAATCGCAACCTTAATGACCAATGCGATGAGTGGGAGCGAGTGATCAAAAAAGTCAATGCTCGAACAGGCAGCTGCACGCTACAAAAATATAACCGCTACGAATATGACCTGCTGGTAAAGGTCGGTAGCAGCAGCGGGGGTGGACTGCTAGGACGCTCGACATCCTCTGAAGTGGTTCTAAAGGCTCACCATGACTTCGGAAACTTCACGCGGCAGCTAAGCCATGGCGACATTGTACTGTTTTACGGCACACTCCATCACTCCCGGATACGGACCAACGATGTGCAAGTTCTGTTGAAGACCATCGAGTGCCGGAAATGTAAGTCGCCAGAGCTAGGTACCGCGAGCATTGAACGACTAATAGGTGCCTCTCCGATGGATGCCCGCCTGCAGGAACTAATGAGGGGCATTAAGTATCTGTTGAATGCGTTGTTGAATCCGTTAATTACGTTTAAGTAAGTTAATTATCAAATAAAAAAGGCAAAGGATTTGATTATCTAAAGCTAATGATCACAAATGTATAGCTCCCTCGATCCCAATTTAGTGACAGTATCAGAAGAACTATCAGAACTCTCGGGCTCAAACTGAAACCTTTCCTGCTTCTCGAGTATTGGGCTGTGATACAGGGCCCGATATATACGAATATAAAAAGCGTTTATTAGTTACACAACAACCAGCAGCAACTTACGGTGGTCCCCGATGGTAAATGCCCAATCTATTAAGATCCCGCGGAACAATTGGGCCATGGGGACGTAGCCATTTTTCATAAACCTATCGTCGTACATCTCTCGTGGTAAGAAGCACCAGCCATTCCCGGACATTCCCAAAAATTGTTGTACTATTGCGTGACGATTTTGATTGCAAGCGTCCGTTAAGACGAACTAGTTCTTTGAACAGTCGCGAACTGAAGTGGATTTTGACGAAGGTTGCTTTTAGTTTTTATTGAACCTTTTTGTTTAAATCTATAGACACAATAAAAATAAATATCAACATCAAGACAGTGGGTATTAAAAGAAACTCCACGAAAATGATAAAAAAGAATTTCAGTTCATTTTGCTGCCAGAAAAAACCATGACTTTTTAAAGACTCTTTAAAGAGCGAACAATGCCGCGGAGGCAAGAATAGCAAGCAGCGAGTTACATCAATGCTGGTAGCTATATGGATGCTTCAGAGAAGCTAAAAATTCTTTTGATTGGAAAAGGTAAAAAACCTCGCTACTTTCGGGGCGTTAAGTCGGTATCCATCGATAATAAAGATAGTTCCAAGGCGCGGGTGACCCGCTTTTTGAAGAATGGATTCCAAAATAAGATAAGCAGTTTCTACGCGCAGGACGGAAAATTCGGCACATCCGAAAGATTTAAAGAGCAAAATTAAATACATCGACTTTCAAATTACAACCGCTTGATCAGGGAATAATTCAAAATTATAGGTGTAACTATCGTAACAGCATCTTAAAATAAGCACTTAACTGTATTTCTATTTATGTTTATGCGATTATATCATATTATAAATACAAATATGTATATTAAATGAAAATTTTTTTCTTATCCACACATTATATTCGTTTTATTCCAGTTTTAACAATTTTAATTCGTTTCTTATCGGTATATTTTCAAAATGAGACGGTATATTTTGGAGGGTCGGACGGTCTGCTCTGTCCTGCTCATATATGAAACGAAATAATGAGTCTGGAGAGCGTAATTTTGAATGTACTATAGACAGGGGTACCTCAAAATCAAGTTATATTTGGAAAAAGTTAATGAATTTACCTTGCATGTGTTTCTGGGCGGTTTGGCCTGTTGTCCACACGGTACTTTTCCTCCCATTTTCCGTTGATATGTAGCAAATGTGTAGATACCGCGTAGTTGACATGTACTAAGTAGAGCAAAATGTAAAAGTTTGTCAAAATTAAATGAACGAGTGAACTAATGAACTGAACTTGTACCAACATCCACTGCATATATATATTTAATTGTATGGATTTCAAAGTGTATTTAGTGGCAAACCGAGCACACGAGCACACGGTGGTAAACTGATAGGCGGCCTGCACATAAGTGAAGATAACTTCAACACAGATACCAACTATTTAACTGTAAACTGTAATCAAAACTCAAGCAAACCCCATCATGATACCGTGCATAAAAAAAGAGTATCAAAACGTGGTGATTAGCACCGGCAACATCATTAACAACGAGCTCGGGCAGCGCAAGTCCAACGAGGAACTGTACGATGGGCTGAAAATAACGCTGCACAGTGACCCAAATGTCGAGCGCGTGGTGGTCGAAATCGACGAGCTGCATGGACGTGTACAGCATGCCACAGAGGAGCTGACCAACAGGCTGACGGAGAACCAACGCAGTGAGATTAGCATCGGCGCCAAGATATTCCTCAACAACAACTCCACGGTGTTCATAGAGCAGGCGGTGGACACCTTACTCAACATACTCAATGTGACGCACGTGGACAACGTGGTGTTGGCCTACCACCCCAATGCGAGTGGCACCACATCGCCCGTTGCCAACGCAACAGCTGAGTCCACAACAGCAGCACCGGCCGTCAAATCTCCGTGCTCTGAGGCAAACCCCGCACCCTCGAGCGTCTCCAACTGGAGCGCTCGGAATGGAGCCCAGGGCGTAATCGAACTCAAGGAACTCTACAGGTCCCTGGAGCAGTATGCACTCAACCAAAAGATCACGCAGCTGGGCATTGCGGACCTCGACGCCGAGGCGCTGGCGGAGCTGCACAAGTCAGCCGCAGTCGCCCCCACCATTGCGCAGGTTAATCTGTCTACCTGCTGCCGTGTGCCCACGGAGCTGCAAGAGTTCTGTGCCGCCCACGACATCCAGCTAAACACACACGGCGATCCCGAGCTGCTGCTGCCGGAGGAACAGTTTTCTGGCCTCGCGCCTGGCTACACAATTGATTGGTCGTTGCGCTACCAAGTTCATGTCCGCTGTCGGGGCGTTCTCACTGCCAAGGGCTATATTGTGGGGGCCTCGCGGCCCATACCCAGTGCCAGCACCAGCGCCAAAGCTAGCGCATAGGCATAGGCATAGTCGAGAGGCAGAAAGAAGCTTAGCTTTAGTTAAAATATTTGTGTGTATACCTGTATACTGTGTCGTAGTTCTGTACTTATTGTTTGTTATACAAAACCCAGATGATCGATTGATTTTATTGTAAACGATTTTTCAAACTTCTTCTGAATATAAAGCGTTTCAAAAACGGCAAACCAGCTCTCGCCCTATATGGCGTTGTATTGTTATTTGTGTCATTTGCTGGCTGGGGTCACCGAGTCTTGAACCGGTTTGGCTCACAAATTAAGTATACGTCTAGTACACATTCAGACAATTATTGCAGCCGCTGTGAGTGCTGGACTGATGACTGCGGTCTGGTTCCTGTCCCTGTTCCTGTGGCTGTTGCTGTGGCTCTGGCCTCCAGTGCTTTGTTATTTACCTTGTTAATCGCTGTCTGTGTCTGCGTCTGGGTCTCAAATCTAATTAAGGCGGACGCGTCCAGCGACCTAGCGACCTCACATTCAGATCACGTGGCTAACCCGTCCCAGTACTTGAGAATCAAGAAACGAAAACCGACTGTCGGTTGGAAGCAGATTAAAATTTAGCTGCGGGAGATATTTTAAATATATTGCCTTTGATTTGCTCGTAGATGATATCAAAATTGGAAACTGGCTGGCTGGCTCGTCAGGTGCAACAGCTAACGGCCCCATAAATCCCGTCATAACTAATAATAAATTCGGATTGTGGTGTGCTTGAATAATGAAGGAGTGCGTCCGCCCTATATTAATCTATTGTCGAAATTTACAGCGGCTGTATATTGGTCGAGTGAGCTGCGCGATTGGAGAAGGGGCACCAGTGGGGCTGGCTGTAAGTAGGTCATTTACAAGAAGTAGCTGTTCGTCTCAAGTGGAGGAAGTGCGTGGACAAAGAGTTTATTAATAAGCAAGCAAGAAACCATATAATTTGAAGGCAAAGTTCAGGGAGCGAACATATGCCATATTCCAGATTTGGAAGTATCTCAGTAAAGGTCTATGCACGCACCAAATAGATACATAGCTACATACATACGAATGTTTATTGTATGTGTTTGGCGAGAAGGGAAATACACAAAAACAAAGTTCACTTATCGCCATGACTTGTTATATTTCTTGACTCCCCCCCGCAGAGAGCAACAAAGAGAGAGAGAGAGAGAGAATGAGTCAATCTAACTTGTTTTTCGATCATTACAGCTCGCTCCATCAGTGTCATCATTATCCCCATAGAGTCCGAGAATATCTATACTACGAGAATATATCTATATATATAATGTGTATATACACGCACGACGCAGGTGACGCATCGGCCTCCAAAACGCTATGGAGCAACATGTAGCACAACATTTCTTTGTTGTTGCCAGCAAGATGATAGAAGCCTCTCGAATAGAATTAACCTTACCCTCTCCAAGCAGCTGTCAGGTATCAGGAACTGGTGAAATGTTCGGCTTATCAGCTTGTTATCAGTATTAGGTTTTTTCGCCGTTTGTCATCGCAAACCGCATCCAAGTGCAGTTGTAGAGCCCCCCCCCCCCTGCGTATACGTAACAAATAGCTATCTCTATAAAAATGTATGTACATATGTATGTCGATCCGTTATTATGTTCCGGCTGAGCTGCGATGAGTAAGTAATTACTATACTCGAATTTTGCAATACTTCATGAGTATCATTATTCTCCTATTTTATCTAGAAATTTCCATAGAACATAGAAACAAACATGATTGTGATTACACCATAACAATTGTTGAGTCTTTATTAATTTAATTGAATATTCTTTGAATGCTTCGGTACTCACATTATTCTTAGTTTGACTACACTCCCAATCTACAGTACTCGTCCACGCGACTCCTTCCGCCACTTACATTGCTTCAACATTATCTCTTACGACGAGTAGTGCTGTTCATTCTGTTTGTTGATAATAATACAATACAATACACTATAGCAGTTAACACACACCAATAATACACACACGGAATTGATAATGGATGTTTGTTGGTACTGGCATGCAATTTGTGTTCACGAGTTACACTTGATAAGGTTCATCCTCTACATACATATATCTAATTACAGGTGTATTTTTTTATTTTCGAAACAATACGATGCTTTTGGGTTATACATATTCCACACATTAGCTACAATTAGATTGCATCGTAAAAACTAATCTATCTCACTTGATCGCAATTCAAAATAATAATATTACTCTGTATACGTTTCGCATCCATTCGTAAAATCAAACGCTCTTCTGGGGACGGACGCTGTGTATCGTACAATTGAAATTGTTTAATTGGCATTCCGATTCCGAGTTAATAAACAGAAAACTAGTCATACAATATGGAATTTGTTCGCCTTTGCATACGTTTCGTTGTTTGCTCGACCATTTCCCGGGAAGGGGAATGGGAATGGGAAGGAGACCATTTGAATTGAGGCAATTGGCTGTCGGTAATACAAATTTGAAACCGGGCTGTTGCTGTTGTTGTTGCTGTTGCTGTTGCATGAACGCAAATGGGGGTTAGGGGGGCATGGCCGCCTTGTGGTTCATTCGTTGCTGCGCTTCGACTAGCCCTAGGACACTTGTAAACCATAGTAAAAATGTATCAAAATATGCTCTTTCTTTTCTCGTCAAAAATCATGAGAATAAAATGTACAAAAATCGTATGTTGGTCGTAGACATCTTAAATAGTACGATATCTGTTGTGGACTCGTGTGTTGCACATTCATTTAAAGTAAGTGTGATCCTGTGTAGTTTCTCATAAGATTCGAAATACATATCCACCATCATCTACTTTCAATCTAAATTCGAATCGCTGTCGCGAACAAAAAGTATCTACTGGGACTTGGGGCATCAGCTTGACAATGAAACGGACTCCTTTGTCTATGGTTCACAACAATACATATAGTACACATGCATATATCTGAAGAATTTCCACTATGTTAATTAAGGTATTTTTTGCATTGTAAGAGTACCCATATAGTAGTATACTTTAAAGTTATAGACACATACTGTTCTGCACATTGAGATAGATAGAAATTTGAATAGAACACGAGTTGCAAGTGGGGAAATTAGAGGATTACTACTAGTTTGGGATAGTTAGGAGGATCTATGTAGGTCTGGACTTCGTGTAGCTATACATTTAATAAACACAATCTTTAGAATTTGAATTAAAAGTTTCCTATTTGTTTGTTTGGTTTTTTTCAACATTTAGTTGTGCCAATATATTTTTAAAAAATATTTGCAATTTTCGTTTTTGTTTTCTTGTTGTTGTTGGTTTGATTCCGATTACATACTAATACATTTCTTTTAAACATTAAGCCAATGGAATTGCAATTGTCAAGGACACACACACACACACACACAAAGCACACCACAAAACACATCGGGAGACATCAAGAGTGACACTTAAAATGCATATTGACTTCCAGTGGGTTTCGTTTAGATTAAGAGTGTGTGAGTGTGTGTTGTGTGTGCCCCTTAAAAATTTCACAAAAATACAATCAAAACATTTTGTTCACTAATCTACCAAAATACATACAATAAAATACATTGATGCACACACATATAATACATATCTATTCGTATATCATATCATATCATATTGGATATTGGATATTGGTGTAACCTTTTCGTTTCTTCTCTTCTCTTCGCTCCTTCTACGCTTTAATCTAGAAAAACTAACAACAATCTGTAGTTCGATTCGTATGTGAATGGATTACTAGTTAGTATGTGTATTTATGTATGTGGGTGGGTCTTATGTAGAACTTTAAACTATTCAAAATATAATAATACCATTCATTTGCCATTTTTTGGGGCATACATAAGTAATTCAGTCTAATTTGGGAATTGGTCGACGATCATCGTTGATCATTGTCGTGGAGCGGTGCGGTGCGGTGCGGGTATGTGGAACGGGTGGAACCAAACACACAAACAAATGTACAATAGTCGGATCGGATTCATTAATCTGTATTTCCTATATCCATCGCCAGCTCCATTGATAGTCTCCGATTGCTCAAATCAAATGCGACTTGCGATTGGAGTGCTCGATGGCGGCCAGCAGTTCGTGTTTCTTTCGCACATAGAGGCGTCCCTTCTTCCAGGGATTCTGCAGCTGCAGCGGCTTGAAGTCGTCCCGCAGGCAGCGCTCACGTGCCCCAATCACGGCCACCAGACAAAAGTTCTCCAGCATATCGGCGCTGTAGATGGGCCCGTTGTTGCCTTTCAGCACCACGGCCATGTTGAGCTGCTTGACCACCAGATTAATGACCTCGCGGGCGGTCGTCTTTGGGGTTACGTGGAGCTTGAGGCTGGTGCCACTGGCCAGTCCGGTATTGTAGGCGGTGTACACCTGGATGATGCCCGGCACCTGTTCCGTGTTCAGGCTGGAGCAGCTGGCCGAGTCCTCTTCACTGCTTTGGCGCGACAGGCTCTTGGTGGAGGATGCCTTCGAGGTGCTGGCCACCGGCTCCTCGCCGCCCACAGCCCTCAGCTCCGCCAGGGTGCTCTTCAAATAGGGTCCCCCTTCGCGCAAATTGGCACTGGAAGCAGCCTTCACGGCCGGCTTTAGCGGCTTGTGCTCCAGGTCCGTGGCAAAGACACCGCTGCCACTCCTGAGCGACACACTCGATCCGGCTAGATACGGAGCCGAGCTGGAACTATGCACCGTGATGAGCGGCGTCGAGGTGTGGTGCGCGATGTTGGAGCTGGTGCGCTTCCGTTGAGCTGCCACCGCCTGCGAGTGGCGCAGTGCATCCGCCAGAGTGTCATCGGAGCGTGACGGTGGCAGGGCAAAGACGCTGCTGCTGCTGTTCTTATCCGAGATGGAGTCAACGGCAGAGTAGAAGCTCTGAGGCGTGTAGGTGGAGCTCATGGAGTCGCCGCTGTTCTTCCGCAGCGACACCTCTGAGCATGTGGAGCCTGCGTACTCGCTGGTGGATACTTGCAACAGCTGCTGCTGCTGCTGTTGTTGCTGCTGCATTTGTGACTGCTGCTGTTGCTTGGAAGTCGTGGCATCCACTGGGGTGATTGCAGTCTGGCCCAGATTCTGCTCCGACTTCGAGTGCTCCGGCTTGCCCTGCGATTGATCCTCGTTGGTGCCGGGTCCCGGCCAGCTGCCACGTCCAGTGCCTGTCTTGTTGAACTTGCTCTCGCGTATCGGGAGCTGCAGGAGCTGCTTGGACTGGCCTCCCGCCGCAGACAGCTCCTTCTGCCGCAGCTGGGCAAAGTCGAGGATCTCCCGCATGGCCAACGACGGCTGGGCACTCTTGTTGCGCGCATAGGCCACCACATCCATCAGCCAGCGCACGCTCTTCCACACTAGCGTCAGGCTGGAGCTGAGCTCCTGCAGCGTGGCCAGTCGCTCCTTGGCCGCCTGCAGTTCGCTGCTGGAGAAGGCCTCGCGCAGCGAATGCGTGGCCAGCGCTGTGTCCAGCTCCAGGATGCAGGAGAGGCGGGCGTACTTCTGGATAATGGCCGGTTGGTAAGTGCGCAGATGGATCATCTCAAAGGCCTGGATGCTCAGGCTGGCCAAATCGTCACGCTGCAGCAGCAGCTCCGACTGTCCGGGCACCGCACACGACGACTCCGCCGAGGGGCAAACAACCAGGAAGCTGATGTCGGGACTGTGCTCGATCACCTCCACGTCATAAAGGCGGTGGGTGGTGGCCTCCGAGGCCTTGATGTTCATCCCAGCGAACAGCTTGTGCATCGCATTGGTGAGATCGTACAGGAAGAGGCGCTGCACCTCTGTGGTGCCCGACCGTTCGCCACCTGGCGAGCTGAATTCCAAAGGGAGGCGCAGCGGATCGCCGCTACGATGCAGCACCTGCCATTCCTCGGCCGTGATGTGGCTGTTCTCGCGCACCTTGCAATGGGGCAGGACATTGGGTGTCTTCACAGGCACCACCACCTGGATCTGGTCCATGGAGCACTGCATTTTCAGATAGCCCAGATAGAGGCCCGGCTCCAGGCGCTGCAGGGCCGCCTGCTGGTAGTGCATCTGCTCGCCAATCGAGGAGATGAGCATCTCGTTGATGTTGTAGTCCTCGTGCAGGGCCCCGAGCTTCTTCTGCAGCTTGCTGACCGGTAGCCAGCGGGAGTTGAGTATGGAGACGGCCTTCTGGCTCTTCACCGACTGGACGCAGGTGAGGACGACAGTGCCCTGCGAGTCCCGCAGTGGCTTGTAGTACAGCTGGCCGAGGTCCGTGAAGCCCAGCGCCGACTGCATCTGGCAGACGGCAGACAAAAGCTTTGTCCGGAAGTGAACGGCAGACGTGAGATTGCGCTCCATGTCGGAGCGCAGCGACTTGACATCGTCCCAGGTGCAGGCCACCTTCATCAGCCAGTAGTAGTCCATGTGCAGGGCACTCGGATACGATTCGTCGATCTCGATGACGGGCGGAAAGTCCTCGCTGGTCACCAGCACCTTGTCATCGCAATGGACGATGCACGAGAAGTAGATGCCCCTGTGGGAAATTGGATTGGTTTAGTCCCCGGTTTGTGCTTCATTCCCATATATGTATGTATGTACCTTCTGAGGGTCTTTTGGAACTTGGAGGCCACCGAAAAGAGCTGCTTGATGGTAGTCTTTTTCTTGGGGTTGCGTCGCTGGCCGCCCGCAGGATCTAGAGTGAGTTCCGAGACATCGGCGGGTCGGGCCAAACGCACGGCCGTAAAGAGGTTGTCCAGAATGCGGTGGCGGCCCACAAATCGGTCCTCACGATTGTCCAAGTCACGCCAGGCTATCAAGAAGAAGGATATGTCATGGTTTAAAGGCAGTTGATTGATTAGGGTTCCGGGATACTCACTCGATGGCACAACGCTAGCTGGAACTGAGGTGCGATAGGCCCCCCAACCCTTGACATTGCCGCAGGAGGCGCGCAGGAAGTATCGACGTCCCTGGGTGAGGCCGGATATGTGACACTGGGCGCCCATTGTGCCATGGAAGCTCACCCATTCCAGCAGCTCGCTTTCGCCTACTACGTTATTGAAGTCCGCGCGGGTCGACCATTGAACTGTGCCAGAGACAGAGACAGAAATAGAGACGGAGACAGAGTTTGAGTCAAGGCCAAATCAAAATGTGGGTCTAACCACATCACAGCCACCAGTCGCAAAGCAATCAGCATGAGATTGAGAGGCCACTTGGTTCTGTGGTTGCGTACCTTTAAATTTCGTGCCGATGGCACCCTCAAAGGGCTCCAAGATTTGTACGCTGATGGAATTGTCGCCGGTGACATCTACGACCACCGAGGCGGGCGCATCTGGCGGCCTTGCCTGGTCCCAGCCAAGCAGCAGCCGTCGCAGGCCCTTGACGCGACGCTCCCAGATGCCGATCTGTTTCTCCACCTCGCTGCCCGTACAGCCTGTCACGGAGGCACTCGAGTTTCCTGGGGAAAGAGACACGCTGATTAAGAGCCCCATCCATGAGGGTTGATGGCTGTGTGGGCCACTCACCAATTATGATGCTCGAGATGGAGGGTCGCGAGGCGAAAATGGGTGGACAGAGGCCCTCCGGTCCGCTCAGATCGTGGATGCGCGACTCGGCGTCCTGCAGCAGGCCATTGAGCTTGCTGCCAATGTTCTCCGCGGAAACTGCAAACGATATTGAGATTAAGATTGATCAGTGAAAGGAACAGCGTAAGATGTGCTTGAACTTACACTGAGAGCCCTCCATGGCGCCGTGTTGGAGCAGCATTTTGGTCATGGAGCGATTGTTGCTGAGAACGGCCAGATCCAAGGCGGAGAGACCATCATTGTTAATGCTGTGAAGGGTTGGTAGATGTGTTAGGAGTACATATATGTAGGGATGGGCGATGAGAAATATTACCTATTCACATCCACATCGGTGGACTCCAGGATGGTGCGTGCCTTGTCCAGATGCCCATGCTCCACGGCCGAAAACAGAGCTACAAATAGACACGTATATAAAGAGAGTTTAGATGCAGTTCCAACTCATTTGAGGGCTTAAGATCAAGTCCTGGTTGCGTTAGTGGATTAGTTTTTCGTTGCCCTGGGCCTACCATGCAGATGAAGGTTGCTCTGCGTCAGCTTTTCGAATTGTGCCTGTGCCAGTTTCTGCTGCTTCTTGGACATTTTGCTGGCTCGCGGATGGGGTATGTTGCCCGTTACTTTCGTTCTCAGCTGCACGGGCTGGCGGTGCACGGATAGCTGTTGCACATTGGCCGCCGTGTTCTCGTCCCCGGCGGAAAGTGGCGCCGTCTCCAGGTCGGCGGAATCGGCCGTCTCCTCGTCATCATGGTCATCCCGCAGCTTGGCGCTCTTCGGCTGCGAGTGGCGGGAGATGCAGAGCTGCGACTGCGACTGTGTCGAGTGCGGCAGTAGGTACTCCATCTCTCTGAGATCCTGTGTGTGGCAGGAGATGGCGGTGCGTATCTTGGCTACCGCTGCATGCTGCGTCAGCTGATCGGACCAGCGAGTGGACAGCAACGGCGCTGGATAATATGTGGGATAGTTATCCCGATCCTTTGGTCGCAGCTTGACCTGGTTGTCCACAGATTCAGTGTCGCTCTCACGATACGACTGCGACTGCGACTGAATGTTGTCTATCGGGGGGGATGAGGGATAAATTAAAATAAAATAATAGGAAAATCAAAATTAAATGCAAACATGAAAGCCAATTAAAACTAAATATAAATTAAATGCAGGATTTGTTGCGGGATTTGTTGTATATACGAGTATGTACAGAGAAGGTAAATAGCCCGCCGTGGGTGGGTGGAATGAGAGGGGGAAGGGTCACCGTCATGTAATTGTTACAATTATTATTGTTGTTTCCGCCTGCTGTGTTTGCCGATGTGATTAATTAAATATGAAACATAAATGCCTATTCCAACCGCTATTGTGTGTGGTTCTCTTTTCTGGCCCGAGTTGAGATGCGATGATGATGACCATCGAACCAATTATATTAATTATGCAAAAGCGCAATCCAACCATTTGTTTGTGTTTGCTTTGTAAGTATGAATGTTTGTTAGTGTGTGTTTGGTTATGGTATGTGTCCATGCAACGCGAGAAGCACCCACCTAAGCCTCGCACCCACCCACCACTCGTGATGATTGTTCCCCTTGCCATTCCATTTCAATTGTCTTTAATAACTATGCCTTTGGTATTGTATGTAGGAATGATGATAAATGTAAGTATTTCAAGCGCATTTCTTAATTGCCCCGCATGGGGGTACTGCATGAACGCCGTTCTCTAACCCATCTCTCTTACCATCGAAGGCATAGTGACTGTGACGCCGGCGTTGCTGTAACGGAGGCGCAGGCGGAGGCAGTGTGCCGTGGGTAGCTGCCGCTGCCGCTGGTGATGATGGTGTTGCAGCCGCCGCCCGTGCCGCCGCTGTTGGGGACACTTTCAATTGACAGAATTTGGTCAGCTCGTTGAGCGTGTGAAACGATTTCTGGCGCATGAACACCGCCGGAGAGCGCAGACAGCTGCTCATCTGGAGCTTCTGCGGCGGACAGGGGACTTTATGGCTATCGCTCTGGTAGCATCTGCAAGAGCATAACATTAACGACCCCGCCAGATATTTTGCCATGGGATTAAGCCAGTGTTTGTATGGTCAACAGATGTGTGCGCATAAATATATCCCATGAAACATTCAAATGAATATTCATCCTCTTTCCACACTCGTTTTATGGGTTTCTTTCTTCGAAAGGAAACAACTCTCGTGTAAACAAGCGACAAATGGCCACGCGAGTTGAGGGGAAATTGCTTTCGTTGATGTAATAACAAGATCTGAGATGGGAAGCCGCAGACGCAGCCGAAGCCGAAGCCGAAGCCGGAGCCCTACCTAACCCTTCCTTGAGACAGCCATATGTACAGCTTCAGCATCGGAATAGCATTTCGAACAGTTCATTGACCCACTGGGAGGCAAATAAAAATGCCAAATCAACACATGATGGATATAAAAATCAAATCAAATCAAATCATAGAATGGAACCACAAAACGAGAGACAACATTTCACTAAATCACATCTGAATCTGGCACTTAAACGCGATTTATGTATAAACTCCATTCCGGTTTCCTCCCACGGATTTTTCGGGGAATAACGATCTAGAAAAAGGGTCACGGACACCTACGACTGTTCAGGTACGGCATCGGCTTCCGGATGGTGGCCGTGCGCATGCGCGTCGTTCCATAGATCCCCTGTTGGGCATTCCGCGTGATGTCCGCCAGCACAGACATTGAGTCGTCGCCGCTCAGCGTCCGCTCCAGGTCCGAGTCCAGCGTGGCCTTGGGGGCTGCCTTCGCCTGCTCCGGCTGGCAATAGCTCTCGGGTATTTGGAGCAGCTTGCAGGCCTTTCGCGGCAGCGTCACGCCCACGGGCAGCGTGGACATCAGCTGCTCGATGCCCAGTTCCTCCTGATCGGCGGCCAGCTCGGAGCCGGGCTGCCGCTTGAGCGGCACAAACTCGTTCTTGCCCTTCACTTTGGTGGTGACCACGGCCACGGCATCGATTTCGCTCCACAAGCGCAGTGCCTTCGCCGCCTTGCTCTTGTCCAGCGCCGTCCGTGTGCGACTGCGGGAATGCAGATGGGCGCGAAGCTTGAAGGGCGACTGCAGCGGCAGGGCGGGACTGTGCAGCTTGCTCTTGAGGCGCCGCAGGGAGGATCGCACCGAATGCGAGCGGCGCAAAGCGGGTAGCGAGTCCCCGTCTTCATTATCCTTCTCCGGGGTCGGTATCAGTGCCGCCTGCTGATCCTTCAGCTTCGAATACATGCCCAACGCCTTGCGACGCTCCATTGATCACTTTAACCGGTTTTCGTTGCGTTTCCTTTTATTCGATTCTATCACAAATACGTTTTTTAGTCCACGAATGTATCACATTTTACACGTTTTCAGTTTATTTCCATTTCTTTTCCCGTTTTCGATGTTTTGTTTTTGGTTTTATGGCAGGATTTTCCGTTGTGCGCGTCGCGTGTTTCAAAAATCGAATGTGAAAAGTTCTCTTGTGGGAGAACAGCATCGGAACGAACGTGATTTCGTTCTCTCTCTCTCTCTCTAGGTTTTAAATCCTCTCTTTACATATGAGAGTTGCAATAGTGCTGGAAATGTAGCTGCTTTCAAGCCAGATATGTTCCGTTTTAATGTGGGGCATAGCTAATATATTTTGTAGACAGATTATAGCGAAATATAACTAAAACTAAGGAAAATTGTACATAGACAAAATATGCCTATTTATTCTAGCTAAACATAAATGTTGTTAACAGTATGTAAAACGAAGCAGAGCCCTAGAAGAGGGTATACAAATGTATTATTTTACTGTCATCAAACTGTCTTTAGTCTCACGAAAAAGTTCAAAGAGTAATAAATAAAATTAATTCGATTAAGCTAGATGATTCTATAGAAATTCTTACTCTTCCTTTGGAAAATCTCTTTGATAAACTCTACTTTTTCTAGCTATGATTCCGCTATGTTTGCCAGCACTGATGAGAGCCTGGGTTGCTTAGGTAGCCTGCTGCTTACTCTCCCTCTCGCGGAGGCCTTACTCTCTCTGCCGCTCTCTCTCTCTGTGCTCGCTCTACCTACCCCTTATATTTGGTACAGGAAATATCACTCGTTTGATCCCTGTTTACTGTGCTTTTGTTCATTTGTATGTATGTGTGTTTCTATGTCTGTACCTGCATACGAATTATTTTAAGTAGCAGCCGCGGTTTCAAAGCAAAAATCCACTTCGAGAATGCCCTATCACGTGTCTGTGGGATAAGGATGTGTGGGTGTCGTAAAATCAATTATCGGGCGACATTTCGAGCATCGTAAACCTTAACAAATTATTTCCAGACCCCTAGAGGATTGTTTGCTGATGATGCCGTCGAGGACGACTCGTCCCGCACTGATTTATCGACGCCTGTCTGTTGGCATTTGGGAGGTGTCACCGTCGCATCCCCCAGGCAATGAAGACGAATGGAAGAAATTAAATTCTGTGTCGCGGCTGTCGTCGGGTATCACAGGGGCTGATTAGCCCCCACAAAGGGCCCCCCCCGGCCCCGAAGACAGAGTCGGAAAAATTGAAAACTAATTGGAGTCTTGAAAGGTGAATTCGATGTGCCCTCGATCAAACATGAGACCGGTTTTATTTTACATTTTCGTGTGTGTTTTTGTCACTAATTTTAGACATTGTCTCATATGAATGAAATGAAACGAATAAATGTCGCTCGCCTGTTTGTGCTTGAAATCACTTTGATCTCCGGCGAAAACGATTTCAAATACTGGGAACTAGTCTATGTGGCGGAAACCACCTATTATTATCCCCATACACTTGGTCAAGGTCAGGCCCAGGGGCCGTAAACACAGTGACTCAGGCCCAGTCTCAGTCTCAGTCTCTCTGGGCTGAATTGATTCACCAAAGTGAATCTGGTTGGGTCTCGAGGTGGGTCTCGGGTTGGGTCTCGGGTTCTCAGATAAGTATCATAGGAGCCCTGTTACATATGCAAATGTCCGTGATTCTACGAGTAATACGAACATGGTGGATAGCTGACTCAAGCCTATCTTTGTTTGTTATAAAAATAAATCCTGAATAAGTACTAGATTTCCATCAAATCCAAAGACTTAGATGGGTTTCTGGATCGCCTGACTAATTCATCGGTTCTTGAAGAAATAAGGAATAGCCAAAATCAAGCTTGTAATAAACTAGATATAAAAGCAGAAATATGTACACATTCTGGAACCGCGGATGACCAAGCGAGCTGTCACTCAATATTAGGCATTATTTGATCCCCGACACAAATCGGAATCACGTCCCTCCATATCACTGTTTGATATTTGAAAAGCCTTGTTAAAAAATGATTAACACACACAAATGTTCCGGCACCACAGGCAATGCCTTGCGGCACGTACCGGGATCAATCCTAAGCCGTTTTGCTAATACTATCAGGTTCCAGGGCGACC